AGGGAATCTCCTTGCCCGAACCGTCGTGCGGTTACCTCCACAACGACACATCCCTTTGTTCTCTCTCCCTTAGGAACTGACGCAACTCTATCTAGCGTCTCGTCTGTTCAGACCATATAAATTGTACCTATAACTCCATCGAATAGAAGTTTCCATTTCACTTCAAACAGTCTCCTCAAATGGAACAGCGCGCGACCCTAAAAATGATATAGCAATATACATATAACAGGTGGATTAAAAATTGGAACCACTTGTGATAAATCCATATGTGATGGGCTCCTTCAGAAAACCTGCCTGCCATTGACGGTTCGCCAATGGCCACCCGCCTTAGATGTGGTCTATCTCCAAGAGGTCTTGATACTCATCTCGATGAACCTAGGTTTCGCTGCTGTGTGTGGTCTAATGGTTGCTAAAACCATCAGAGGTGGCAATTTCAACCTGTCAGAAATGACCTATCATGTAAAATGTAAATAGTGCCGTTTGGCTGGGCTTCAGCTTTTCCAATAAAAATGGCTACAAACCAACCAAATAGAGTCTTTTTTTAGGGAAACCAAATAGAGTCTTAGTGCTGTGCAACTCCTAATTTGTGCTACACTTTGTTAGAAAAATGTAATACATTAGATATTGTCACTATATCGCCTCTACTAGTCTATTAGTGTTGTACTCCCTCCGTTTTTAAATATAATTCTTTTTAGAGATTTCAATACGAACTACATAGATTCCAATCACGTGCACGGTGCGGTCCGAACGCGGTGACGGATGCGCAACCCGTCCGTTGCCGTGCCGAGCTAGAAGACGGACCGTGGGCATCCTCCGACACAAACATGACGCGGTGTGCCTACCGTGCGAGGCAGCGGGAGCGGAAGGCGGCAGCAGCCCTCGTGGTGGTGGACGTTGCCGAGGCAGAGTCACATTCTCCGACACCTCGTATGGTGCACTAGTGCAGGCGCTGCAAGCGCGTCATGGCGGACGTCGCTGGCTCCACCCAGGACAGATCCATCTTCAATCTCACGTCAACCGGCACTTGCGGGTCTGGACGAGAAAGAGTAGGGCATGGGAGACGACGGAGCCTCGACTCCCATGAGCCAGCTCGTGTCCCATGTCCTACTCTACCTCGCCGGCGACGGGACCAACACTCTGGAGAGCGCTGCCACACTAGCACTCCCCTTGCTAGTTTCCTTTTCTTGTACTCCTTCCGTCCCATAATATAACAATGTTTTTGCCACTAGTGTAATGTCAAAATGCTCTTATATCAAGGACGGAAGGAGTGCTGTCAATCGACTGTACGGGCTACAAGAGTGCATGGTCCACCGTCGTTGAGCATCTTAACTGTGTGATGACGAGTTGATGGATCGTTAATGTCGGTGCGGCGTAGCTTCGCTAACCATCGCTCAGAGGATAGCTGTGTTGGCGCCGTAACCTTGCCCTAGCTCATCCTCCCGTCGCTCTCACTCTCTCTCGCTGGCTCAAACCAAAGGAAGAAAAAGGAAGAGATGGCACGGTGGACACAATGGTTTTTCCGGCGCACAAACACCCGCTGCTCGAACAGCTTTTCCGGAGCTCAAACTCCACACCACATGCCATTACAACGATCACCGTGACGATCTTACACCCGGACCAGTGTTGGGCCATGACCCCCAGGCAACCACCCACTCCTGTGCATGGTCCAGCCCGTTGTGGACCCGCCCATGACGCGCTCCCACGCACGTACGACGGGCCGAGCCCGCAATAAACCAGCGCGAGCACTCAGTCACCCCGTGTGGTGCACTAGTGCTTGCGCAACCGTGTCGTGGCGGACGTTGCCGGCTCCTTCCAGAACGGATCCATCATCGATCTCACGTCAAATGACACTTGCGGGCCTGGACGAGAAAGAGTAGGGCATGGGAGACGACGGGGCCTCGACTCCCATGAGCCAGCTCGTGTCCCACGTCCTACTCTACCTCGCCGGCGACGGGACCAACACTCTGGGGAGCGCTGCCGGCCACCGGACATGGGCACGACGGAGCCGGACGAGCTCCGCTTAATATTAGGTTTACGATGCATGTAATAGTATGGATTTCAAGTATTCATTGTTGAACGGGTATTTGAGGCTTGATTGACGTTTGAGAGGTTGGATTTGCCAAGTCGGGCTGTAGAGTCTAGTACAATACCTTTCTCATCGCAGCGTGGACCGAGCGTGTAGTCCACGCCCGTAGTACCATCTCCCGCTTCTCACGGTTAAGAATCTTCAGAGCGCATGGCGCACGCGAGAGACTGCATTTTTGTCGCGTGGAAAATGGGCAGTCAGTCGTCGTCCGGAATAACCCGACTCCGTCCTTAAATACGAGCCATGCCCAGCGTACAGGGCCGCTCACACAGCAGGCAAGCAGCACCGACGCCCACCATGGCCAACACTACCTCCTGGTCCAGTGGCCTGTGCGGCTGCTTCGACGACGTTGGCGGCTGTAAGACCTCTCCCTTGCCGCTCTTCTACTTGCCATGCTTTCGGTTCCCATCCCATGCGTGGTTTCTCAACTGTGATCAACGGCCGGGCTGTGCTGTGCTGCAGGTTGCCTGACCTTCTTCTGCCCCTGCGTCACCTTCGGGAGGATCGCCGCGATCGTCGACAAGGGAGAAACATGTCAGTCCATTTGTCTTAAATTAAACCTCCACGATCTGATGATTAGCAGTATTTTACGTCTCGGTATGCATGCCTCTGTTAACTGCTGAATAATACTTGACATGGTATGATCAGCTTGCTTTGTGAGCGGGACCGGGTATCTGCTCCTGAACTGGTTGACGGGGTTGGCCTGCCTCCACTCCTTCCGCTACCGCTCCAAGCTGCGGGAACAGTATGGCCTCCAGGAGAAGCCCTGCCCCGACTGCTGCGTCCACATGTTCTGCGAGGCCTGCGCCCTCTGCCAGGAGTACCGCGAGCTCAAGACCCGCGGCTTCGACATGAGCGCCGGTAAACCAATCCATCCTACTCTCTCTTTACGTAGGAGTATTTCATTTTGCCGGACCAGACTTTGACAAACAATTACAATACCATAACGTATAAGTTTTGCATTATACGTACATATCGCCGGAGTAAGTCATAACCACAAAAAAGATTTTAATTAATTTGATGTAAGTACCAACAATTTATGTCACACAAAAATTGCGGTGGTTTAGCAGTGACTCCCTCCTGTCGCATATGATGGTCTATTTAAAGGGCATAGTTGGAGATTCCCCAAGAATGGACGTTTGGCTCTCGGCCTCCATGGAGGCCTTTTTTCGAAAAATTCAAAGTTCAAACTTTTTGGCTTAAAAAAATTTGTGCATGTAAATAAGGATGTTATGTGTATGTGTGTAAAATTTCAGGATGAAATACATTGAATGCGACCTTTATAAAAATGACAAATTCATGGTCTAGGAGGATGAATAGTATCATGTGTTAAAAAGCCTTAGATTTTTCCTTTTTGCACAACCCTCATTTCATCGTATTTTGCCCTGAAAATTTAAGCACATGTGTGTTATCCATTCATGTATATCTGTATTTTTTTCAGACTTTCTTGAAATGTAAAAAATAAGAATTTTGATGAAATTTGAACTTTGAATTTAAAAGCCTAATGTAATGGAGGCGGTACGTATCATCAGGCGCTGCGGCAGTACCTGTTTTAATCAACTTTCATGTCGGCTCTACAGGATGGCAGGAGAATGGCGCCGCGACCGCCGCGCCCCAGATGAACCCAGGGATGACTCGCTAGTGCGTCCGCATCTTCCGATCAGTCGACTACTGCACACACTGCATGCATATCAGTCTGACTACTGCACACAGTGCATGCCAGCTTCTACGCCGGTCTCGTCATCAGATTATGTTTATGATCGAGTGTATCGTGTCCGCCTTCCACATATGAGTCGTTTCCATAGATATTCGAATCGGTATAATTGTATCAATGCCTTCTTTATGTGATATATGCGTGTTATTGAGCGTGTGGACTGTATGGGCGTCTATATCCATGATCAATATAACTTCCAACTTCTGCTTCGATCTTTCTGCGAGTACATGCGCCTTTCACTTTTAGCTGCAAGGTTTACACATTCTTAGTGGTGAAAAATGGAGTGAAACCAACCGAATTAGTATCAAACTGGGTCTGCCTAGTGCCCATCTAGATATGTCGTTGTTATTGAACATTTAAGTGACTTGATCAAACTACAAAAAAAAAATGCTTGCACATCTAGATATGTCGTTGTGTTCTTTTCGCATTTTCCCAGCTACTTGTTTCGCGCGAGATCGCAACTGCTATGGTATTCTGGGTGGGTATTATCTATGGGCTGTTCCTCGGTTTGTAAGTACTCATGCAATCTACGAGTCTAAATTTATGCGATTCACGCCTTGGAGCCTAAAAGAAGGGCCATCTACATATCTGTTTGCGGTGGTGCGTAGGAGTAGTTTTCATACAAGCACGCCATTGTACATATGGATGAGGATTTGCGGCACACAAGTGCGGGGGCACTTGGGGTACCTGGTGCCGCCTTTTAATTTTGGCTTCCGATTTTCAAGTTCTATGTCTTTTAAACAAAAGTGCAAATCAAGTTTTGTTTTCATATTCGTGTTTCTCGCGACCAGCGCTTTCAATAAGATCTATTTTGAAGACTTAAAAAAAATTAAGTTTCAATGTTGAAAACTTAGTACAAGGGACCGATAAGAATCAATTATTTTGTGTCTACGGCCGATAGAAAAATTGCTTAAAATTATATCTCTGAAACAATTAAAAACTTGGCAATTTTAGATGCAAGAACTGTAAGTTCCATCTTTAAAACTTAAAACTTTTTGATGAATTCTTTTTTTTTACTGTGCACTCGTGTAGGATTCAACTACATAAATCAGTAGACAAATCCAGCGGTCGGCAGGGCTTGACCTCGCATGGTAGACGGTAGGGAAGACCGGCCTGCCGCGCTTTGTAATGCCGCGTGCATGCATTAATCATTGTGACATCCATTGTACGCATGCGGGTCACTCGTTGTAGACTGGTTAGGGCACGACCTGCCTATTTTTGTCAGAGTGAGATGATTGAAAGGGCAGCACTGGTTAGATTATATTTACATATAACGATAATGAATCAAAGTGGACTATGGAGCTAGCCATAGCTGTCGGTACTTACGCGTAGTGTAATATAAATTGCCCGTCTATACATTAACTTGAGCGGGTGGGTTGCATGCATGAACTGGAGTATTAGTGATGCATTTGGCGTACTATTTGGCGTACTGGCCGCGCGCCGGGCCAGCTGCAACTTTTATTTTGTTTTTTGTTTCTCCAGATTTTGGGCAGATTTCAAATAGTTTTTCTATGCAAATTTTTTCAAATTTTTCTTTTTAGAAAATAGAAAAGTAAACAGAAAAGTTTCTGAAAATGAAAAGAGAAAGTTTTCAGAAAAAGTAATGTTCATGAATTTTACAAAGAAAATAATAAAGGTCATGAATTTTTATTTGGTCAAAGAAAAGTTTCTGTACATGGTAAAAAGTTCATGATTTTCTATTCATGTTTTTTTCCGCTTTGAGTAAATAATTAATAGTGCTCTTTTACAAATAAAATAAAAGTTTAGATAGAATTAAGTTTTTAAGAGCATGTTAAAGAGATTATTAAAATGAATATGATTATGTTAATTTTATGACCAACGTTGTTAATAACATGATCATGTTTTATTATTGAAATTAAAGGTGCATTTATTTCTAATGTTTTTCCCAACGGTAATATAGATTTAATTGCATAAACAATTGTATGTTTAATTTGACCAACATTAGATTAATGCATATGATTGTTATAATGATCTCACTTAAATTGTGATTTCAGGAGGCTACCACTTGATGAGTTGCCTAAAAGACGTTCCGACACTCAGAGGTGACAACTACACTGAGTGAAGGAAGAAAGTAGAGCTGGCATTTGTCTGTGCTGAGGTGGACTCGGTTGTGGACACTCCACAGCTGGTTAAACCTACAAAGCCAGTCAGAGAGGCTACTGATGATGATGCTGCCTGGGGTAAAAAGAGGGGGGGTCATGCTCCTGTGGAGATGTTATATTCCATCGAAAACCAAAAGAATACGATTGAGAACGCCATCGTGGGCTCAATTGTAGAGTGCACTTCCGTAGGGGAGTTGCTTACAAAGATAAAGAACCAGTTCACTGGTCATGCCACCCAGTTGATAAAGCAACTGGTGGTGACAGAGAACTACACTGGCGGTGGTCATGGAATAAGAGAGCACATCCTCATGATGAGCAACATGGCAGCAAAGCTCAAGCCCATGGATGCGGATCTGGAGATCGAACCAACGCTCCTGGTCCACCTGGTCATGAATTTTGATGAAATTTGAAATTTGAATTTAAAGGCCTCTTTGGATACCGAGGTCCAAAGGCAATTTTCGGAGATGCCTGTAACTAACTATAGAAAGTAGCAACGTGCCAGCAGTTTTAGGATAATGTGTAGAATTCACAAGAGAGGGAACTAAATTGGCTTGGGGCATGCATCTTGACGGAGTCAACTGTCATGGTGATCAACGAGATGTGGGCAGATGGATCAAGGCCTATACCTAGCGCGACTGTGATGCTTCATTGGGCTCTTCTAGAGGGCAAATCTCCAATCCGGAGCCCATTCTATTGTTGGGTTCGCTAGTGACATGCTCGGTATTTTCACTTCTTCCTCGCCGATCGACGGCCGGGAGACTGCCGTCAGACTCCAAGTCTAAATGTTGTATCGTGTGATGATAACAAACATCAATGTGATGTTGTAGCTGTATTGCAGTTTCGTTATATGTTTGCCCTTTTGTATCGTGTGATGATAACAAACACCGCATAATAGGACTCCGACCCGAACAAACCGAAAGCCAGCCTCTCCAACAACCTCCTAACCAGTGCGTGGGGTGGTCACGCTCCCGGGGTCGGTTCGTCTGCCATCCCATG